AAAGAGAAGAGGAAAACAAAGGTATTGAGAGGAAAGAAAATGGTGAAAAGTTGAAAATGAAGAAACAAGAGAGAAATTTTTGGTGTTTACTTTCGAAATGTTTTGTTGAAAAACTCATGTTTAACTTTTCGAAGCATCATTTTTGTTTCACCCTTTGTCCATCCTGTGACCAATCTGATCACAATTTCATTTCTTTTCTTGTTGTTGTTGTGCTTGTTCAACCTCTTTATCAGATTTACAGTATTTCAAGTGTAAAAGCAAAACAAAAGCTGACAAATAAAAGATTTTAGTTTTTGTTTTCTCGTCAAACTATTCAACTGTTTTTTTGCTCAAATACAAATAATCTGAGCCAATTCTTGTTAATATGTTTGGTGATATTTGTTCTTGTTGCTCTTGTTAATAATAAATGTTACCTTACAGTTTTGCTGTTTCTGCATTTGCTGTTGTTTTTTGTATCACTTGGCTGTGACAAAAGACTTTTTGATATTCCTATTTGTGTTGATAAAATGGTCCAGTGTTACATTTCATTTTCAGAGGTAAATATTTACCTTTGAGCTTTAATTCAAATACAAGACACTGACTGGATGGTCTTGCCCAAACTTACACACAATATTGCACTAATAGTGATATAATATCAATATTAGTGAAAAATATCGAATATAATTTTATATATTTATATTGAAACATACAAAACGCCAAAAATTAAACTGAGAATGAATTTGTTTCGTATAGTTTCAGACGAAGAACAGACTGGAGATTCCATTTTGAAAAATTTTCATTCAGATTTATGCGAGTTCAACGACAAAGCAAGAAACATAGTTTTATAATAGACTGAAATTTAGTTTTTACATTACATTATATGTAAATCATTTTTAATTGGCTTTCTTACTTCAAAGGAGTCCAGTTAACATAGATTATTTAAATTTCTTTTTGTACTTCAGGATGATCCATGTCATCACCCAGACCGAGTGTTGCCACATGGTGTTGGATGTTTTCTTGTGGATGGATAGATGCTATCGACAAACAGGTGAGCCAATTCTAATACCGAAGGCCAAGGGTTTGCTGTTGTTGAGCGCGTGGTCCTTCCATGAGCACAAACAAAACAAATCATAATGACCAAGATCAATTTAATCAACATTTGATGACAAAGGGAATTTCAACTAGAATTAACTGAAACTCAATTTCGATTTGGAATAATATTATAACTGCATAAAAACTTGCTTTTTATTTAGAAACTTTTACATCTTCGATAGTATCTGAGAAACCATCATTCTGTTAATTGTATTCCAACTTGTGATGTTTACTTTAGTAATATAAATTTTTAGCTTCCTACTGAATGAATGAATCCACAATCATAAATAGTTTTTATGGAAACCGACAATATCATTCGCACTTCATAATGTTCGTATTTTACGTCGTTTTATTTTTATGTCTTTGGAGTAGCAAGTTGTATTATATTGCTTTTTGATCTTCGCATGCATGTTGATGAGAATAATTCCAAACACCAAAAAGCATTGAATTATATTGAAATATCTAGTTCCAGAGATACCGGTTCTTGATGATTGACACAATTGAATTTGATTTTTTGAAAAAAGTAAAAAATTGCATTATTTCACAAAAATCAACTTATCAAGTAAAACTGAGGTGAGCTTAACCCAAAAGTAATCACTCGATCATTTTGCTTACTAATTAAATGATGATGTAATACTCATCTATGTAAATAATAGTTTTCATTTATATTACCATTGTTATTCTCTGATCAAACAACATTTAGGTATATAAGTGGATTCAGAATCATTTGATTATCAATAGTTAGCAACAATAAGTCCCCAACCATAAGTTACAACTATCATTTCGTATATAACTTCATCATGAAATCTTCATTCCGTTTCTTTTTGTACTTCTTGGTCATTCTAGTAAGTATCAATCAATTTATCGCCATAGTGAGACCCTAAAAAATTGCACCTACTAGCTAATTATAATATATGAGGAATGACTAATGAATTTTTTCTTGCAGATTTGTGCATCATTAACGACATCTGCCCTTGGTTGTCATCAAGATAACAATTGTCCAAAAGGCTACAAGTGTGTAAAAATAGTCCAAAAATGTGTGCCATCATCTTAGATTCCGAGCGCTAGTTGAGAGCTTAATCGAAATCTAAAGAATAGTTTCAATTACCTGATCATGAAATTGTATTCGCAAGAATAGGTTCTTTATTAGCATGCTATGTTATGATAATTTTGCAATAAGAAAATAGCGGATAATTTTGTTTACAATCACAATGTTCAATCCGATAAAATGAATAAAGAAATACTAATATAAATTAAAAATGTCATTTGTGTTTTTTCCTTTGTTCTTTCGCTTGCCAGATGTTCATTCAGACTTGAAATCGAACATCACGACACCATCATGAATAAGATCACTTTACTGATCATTTGATAAAAAAGTGAATTGCAACTAGACGCGACTGACAATTTCAATTTGGAACCATAACTTTGCATGAAAACAGACTTCTTATTTAAAACATCATTTGAGATAGCATCTGTTACTTTTATTCTAACTTGTGACGTTCACTTTGTTTATTTAAATTTTTGGCTTCCTGCAAGCTTGAATACTTAATTAATAGCTGATTTTTCGTATATAATAAATATAAGTGTTAAAATTTCGTATCATTACTGTATTTGTCCGATTTCTGCTTTAAAGTTGATTAAGGCTGAAAGCCTACATTTCAGCTTACTTTTGTTGCTTGAAATTGACTAAAAACAAATTATCAAAATCTGTTGCGAATTTCATTCATGTTTATTAAGATTCTATATAATGAAACGTAAAAATTTTTGTCAATTTAAATTGAAATTAGAGTTTAATTGCATATAGTTAGAACAGTTCTAATCGAATGATGAGTAAAATCATCTTGATTATAATGTTTTTTCAGTTAGTGCCCAAGGGAAAGATTTGCACTCCGTTGCAGAATCGCTTTTGAATAAGCCTAGAATAGCCTTAGAACAGTTTATGGACAGTTTAGTTCCATTTCACATTGATTAAGCAAGTATTTATCATTCAAACAACGAGTCTGTGGATTCATATGGTGGAAATACTATATTAGTAGATAATCTAACACGGTCCGAGCAACTTTGTCTGATGAGAATATGGAATAATGTAACCAAGTGATCGAAAGGTTCAAGTAGATTACCTTGATGACGAACAGCCAATGCAATTATGAATGAATCAAATATGATTCCGAAAAAATGCTGTCTATTCTTTTTTTGCTTTGTCTACGGGATTCGCCAGTTGCGCTTGAGTAAATGCCGATTAAAAATGCAAAATTTGATTGAAATTCACTTTTTTAAGTCAAAATAAGTCAACTAAATAAGTTGCTGGTATTACTAACTATGGCATTTCATTGAGCACAAAAGTTAAATTCAATTAATTCAGTATTTAAACAGCTTTTAGGAGGTTAAAACCGTTACACCAATGCTGAGTCGATGAAAAATGTTCAATCTAAATTGGAATTGATATTTTTTCTCATGATTCATCTGTTGATTCAAATTTATTTAAACAAAGGTTTTACCAGAAAATCTTGTGAATCCAGTATCAAAACAAAATGGTTTATCTGAACGAGTGAATTTTCAATGAGTTGAAAAGGTGAAAAGTCAAAAAAGCGGAAATAAAAACCTCAGAAAATTGAAACATGAAGAAAACAGAAAAGCAAAGAAAACAAGGAAAATGATGATGAATCATTTTACAAAAATAAATGCAATAATATAATAATGATAACGTGAGCTGACCAACAATCGAAGAGGAAAACATTTCCTCATTCAGTTCAAGTTTACAAGTTTGAATGAACAACAAGAGAGAGAAAATGTTTTCCTACAAAACAATTCAACCTCTTATTGTCTAATTCAGTTGGAATTTATATCTCATTTTCTTTACATTTACTCGATTCTTAGCAATTATGATAATCATATGAAGCATTCCATTACTCATGGAAGAAAAAGAAGAAAGAAAAGGAAGAAAAAACAATCAGATTATCGAAGTTGCACTCTTCATCTTCATCATAACATTTCTTGTCAATTTACTTAATCCTTTTGTTGTTATCAATAGTCCATCAATTACTGAATCTGAGCAACAACAAGATGAATGAAAGGAAAAGAGTGAAAAAAGAAGAAAAAATAATATCAGATAATCTTCTTTTATATTCTCATGTAATCATGTATTTTAAATACATCATTATCCAATCATCAACTTTATCCAACTGATAATGATAAAGATTTGTTCACATCTTCAAATGAAAATGTTGACAGTAAAAAGTAATCATTATCTTGTATAACCTTTTACCTCAGAGTTTTAATTGAATTGCAAATTGAATGGTTTCAATCCAGAAGGAAAGGTTGACGATTAAATTGAAATGTTGGACAATCTTTTTGCTTCTGATTTTTGCAATGCTTGAGAGGAAAGAAAATATCTTTTAATCATTATTAATGATAAATTGTAATGTTGGACATTTTTATTAATTTCTAGCTTCTTTTCTCATTATCTCATTCAATTGAAACTCAGTCAACTCATTATCATGTTTAAATCATCAGTCAAGCTCACACTTTATTAATAGTCTGGTTTGTAGCATAACCAAAGAGCCTCCTGTTTATCCACTTTGATCATGTGAGGCAAGAAAGATAATTGTAACTGTTTATCAAGATAATCAACATTTAGAGACAATTTTTCTTGTTCCATATACCATGTAATTAACTCTGAAATCAGTCACTTTACACAGATTTACAATTAAAGGTAAAAGGCGAAAAGCAGAAAATTGATGGAAATTCAAAATGAAATAAATGGGAAAATAATTTTTGTTTCTAGACTTGGATGGAATGGGAAAATGAGCGATTTCAATGAAAGATTTTAAAATAATTTTGATATTCGATTTTTTTCGAAAACTGAATTTTTCGATTGACTGTTATCAATCAATTCTCGATCGTTGATAATGTTGAAAGAGTTTGAATACCTGAAGATTGTTGTATCAAGTAACGTATCCATGTGTTTCCCGAGCCAGGAAAAGAGGCTAAGGCTGTTAATGATGTTGGTGTTGGCAAGTAACTGGGTTTAGCACAAAACTTGGATGAACTCAGTCCATCAGTTTGATGAGTGTAAGGCAAAGTGGAAAGATGTGTTGAAGCAAAGGACGATAAAGGTGAAGATGAAAGTGATAGAGATAAAGAGGTGGAGAATAGAGTCGTGAAAATGATGCTGGTAAAGCCTGGTGATGATTATATTGTTGTTGATGTTTTTTTGAAAAATGAGGCCATTTCAAGAACAGGAAAAAAGAGTCATGATAAAGAACATCAGTTGATAATCGAAGAATGGAATGAAAAAGAGAAAAGGAAAATGAGTCAGATTAAAGTGCAATAAGAAGAGTTTTACTTTAAACATTTTTCATCTGATAAACTGATGAACAAAAAACTGGTCCATGAAAAGAAAAGAATTTTTTTCATTAAATCAACTCAAACATATTAAAATGTTACCGTAAAGACTGTTGAACTATTAAATTGGTGGAAAGGAGTCAATTACCATTGAATTAGAATATCATTTTTCTGTGATAACTTTTTCTCTTCTCAACCCTTTTTCCCTGTATTCAACAAGACAAAAAACTAGAGAAACTCAGTCTTCCTAAAGGCTAAATAAAAGAGATTGAATCGAGTGTGGGAATAATGAATGAAAGAAAAAAACAAAAGAGAAAAAAAGTTGAAAACTCGATCCATTGTTAATATCATGTTTATCTTTCATGTTTTGTTCCTCATGTCATGTAAATGTTGATAGTTCAACTTTGGATGACTCATTTGCACAACCTTTCTTTTTCATGATTCAAAACTTTTCAGTGACAATTACAGTAAAAGAGTAAAGGTGAAATGAAGAAATTTCAGTTTACCATTTTGATTGTTATCATGAATAATCGATAGCAAAACTCACCCAAAATTGTTGATGAAATGGACTTGGATTTGTATTCCAATAGTTTCATGATTGTCATGAGTAAAGTAGAAAAACTTTTCTCGAATTTTTGGCACAAACTTTTCCACACTCTTTTCAAGTCAACAATCTAAAGGTAAAAATTGATGAAACACTTTCAAGTCAATTTGATTGTTACATGATTGATTCATTCCTTGGATCAATGAGATTGATGAATTTGCTTGCAATTACATTACTTTACATTTTCCAACAATCACATCAAATGAATGGCTAAACTCGATCTGATGAAACGCTTTTCACTCCCAGCATTCCATTCTCACTCCCAGCATGGTATTCATGCGCAAAATGGTTAAACGCAATATTGTTGTTTGATTGAATTTTATGGCAACATCAATTGAGTTTTCATCTTCTTTTTACCCTGAAATTTGGTTTCTCTTTTTTTCCTCTCCAACACCAAGATTCCTCAATTTTCATTCATCATCATTATCAGAATTCTGTTTACTGAACATTAATAGTTGAAAAGTTGAACTGCTTTTTTATCAGTTTTAATGTTTATCTAACTTTGCATTTTTTGTCTTCTCTCCATGAACAGGCTTCTTTACTCCTTCTCCGCCTATTTTATGGTTTATCAAATGAGGTTAGATTGATTAAAATGTTTAATGATGATATTAAATAGATTGAGGTTAATAGTTGAATTTTAATTCAATCAATAATGAAAATTATCTGGAAAATGTTTTTTCTATTCTATTCTAAAGCTTGGAATCTTTTTGTGTTCAGATTTGGCAACTAATGTTTCAAATCATTTTAATGTTTTACAAATTGATTTTATTGGTTTACATTTTCAAGTTTATGTTTGCAAGAAATATTTATTGAGCAATAAGACTTTCATGAAGTTAATGTTGGAATCGATCTGAAATCATTCATATAACGGGTTCAATAGCAAATTATTTACAACAGTTTGATGGATTTCACTATTAACTAATTTATCTTTTCAAGGGCCGATTGAAAACGTAATATTATTCATCATTTTCCACTTTGGTCTACTATACAGATCTTTGAATAATTATCATCAAAATACATAATAAAAGTCATTCTTTGAGTGAAACTTGCAACAGCTTTTAGATTTGTGTAGTTAATAATATCTTGTTGAAAAATGGCTTGATTAATCAGAATTGGCTTACAAATTAAGAGATTGTTTCATTTCATGTCTGTTCACTTCTACCATCTACTGGACGGCAATTGAAGTGTTTGTTGATTCATAAGTTTGCATTATAATCTTATTTTAACTTTAAGTCATTTTTTAATACAAATGCCTGAATCCTGATCACCATCGATCTGACCTCGATTCTGATCTTTGTGTAAATTACTTGGGCACAAAGTTGTAGCTCCTAGGCAGTCTGAACAAGTTTTGATCACTGAGTCCATCAGGATTGGAGCGATAGAGGGTATACTTGGATTAATGGGCAAACGAAGGGAATGCAATGATGATTGTGACACCGAGAGTCACCATAGAAGCCATTAAGGTTGGACTGAAAACGAATGAGCCATGTAACCTGTAGCCTACGTCTGCACGTCCTATCCGTTCGAGAAAAAGCATCGTCTAAATGAGAAAAGAGAAAAGAGTGGAAATGCCATTTTTGTCATTTGCTTGTTCGCGATCTCAATCACAATCTCAATACCAACCTCCATCATGTATTTTTCACCCAAATCAAGTAAACTCTTTTGATAGACTACATCATAGACTGAAGCTGCTTCCACATTTATACCAATAATGTATTTATTCATAAAACTAGAAGTCCAGAAAAGCGATAAAGAGCTTGATCCAAGAATGAAATATCGACTAAAATCATAGCTACCAGAAATCATTGTGTAAAGCGAAACAAGTCCCATAATATTAAAGGCTGGATACATGAAGCTTAAATAGGCAGACCAGATGTTGTTGGCAGTGGAAGTTAGTTCAATGGTTGCAGTATAAATCTGTCGGTAATAACGTAAGCTTTGAAGGCTCCAAGTAACCTCTGGATGAGCTTTTATTGACTTTTTGATCAGGATAAAAGACGCTCGAATCAGAGAGGATGAAGTGAAAAGAGTATGAACTTTTATGAAAACCAAGATACCAACAAGAGGGTATGACACCTGATGTGAAGTTTCAAAAGCCATTTGTATCAAACCTGCTTCATGAGGTTGAATGACAGCGATGTAGACACAGCCTGGAAGGTAACAAAGCCAAGTGATCAAGAAAAGAATTGCAAAGATGAGGGTTTCCTTTTTGGCTCGTTTCAATTCATCAGTGATGAAAGGGTCATTAAGTGAGAATCCAACCAATCTCCAAGCTTCTTCATATTGACTGTAATCGAGTGGAAACAAGAATACTATGACCAGCAATGCATTGATGAAAATATCGCCTCCTAATACAGTGATTATACTCGAACCAGAAAAGGTCAGCAATCCACAGAAATCAAATCGAGGTAAATACCCAAAAAACATTGCAATATCATGACCAAGTGTTGATGCGAATAATAAAGTAAAAGTCAAAAATGAAATCAAGTTAACTCTACCGGGGAAAATGGGTAAAATGCGAAATCTTAAATGATCGGGTATCGGAGGTTTAATTGGTGTTGTTGGTATCTTGTTTTGTCCCAAAATTTGAAATGGTTTAATCAGATTCGATGACATTCTTGGAGATTTTTCACAATTCTAATGTCTACTTGAATACTGGTAATGAAAATAAGTCAATCTGATTTTTCCTGTTGATTCTTTATGCAGGTTTCACTTTAAATGTGACTTTATTTATTTGAGTTTCATTTTAATCGATAAGGTTTTGTTTATATTTTTGGAAATTATTGTCATTGTTAATAAGGAAAATAAAGTTTTTTTTGGTTACATTGAAAAGATTAACTTTTGATTGAGCATCATTAACGATCAATATGATCATCAACTCATGCAATAATCTTTGCTGTTAATCGATTATGGAAATGAAATGGATTTTACGATTTTAAAAACAAAAACTTCATTAAAGTTGATCGAATCAGAATTTCAATTTTCAATTCTTGGAAAATAAAGCAAATTGAAAACATTGCGTTTGTACCAATTTGTATAATTTATTAAATAATTTATAGCGTATAAAGTTTAGTTTTTAAGAGTAGAAAAGATTACTCTTAAAAAGATTGATTTCTTCAATATTTAAGAGCTACAAAAGTTATTTTCACAAAAAAACATTTTTACCTTCTAAATATTATAATAAATATTTTACATTGCATGAGTGGGACTAATTGGGTGAAAGAAAGACAGGCGATAAGGATAACTTGTGACCGAGAATTGGTATTGGATTGACGCTGGATTGGCTTTTAAAGACGAAATTTGAAGTAGAATTATGTCGCTATGTCGTTCCATTTACTTCTGGTTATCTTAAGTTAAGTTATGCTAATTTTTTACACAGAATCGGGTCATTTGCCAGAACCAAAATGAGTTTTAGATTCCATTTTCGGGTTATAGATTATTTTGATTTTTGATAAGATTAAAACTCTTCATTGATTCGAGATAAATTTACATGTTATGAATCAGCTAAGAAATAATCTTTGAAACAATACAATGGTTGACTCAAAGAGAACTCATTGATTAGATAATCTTTTTGTTAAAGTCGTAAAACTTTCAACAGGAGGCTGCAAGTTCGACTGTTTACTTGTTTGACTAGTAACAGAACAATTAAATTCACCGATTCTCAGAAAAATTCTCGAACTTCATACGATTGATAGCAGAATGACTCATTTAAGCTCAATGGCCCAATTGTTTGATAGATGAATGGATAATATAACAATCCATGAAATCTTCGGCGATGATTCACGTTAATGATGATGCACGGGGTGATATGATGAATGTTACTTTAAAGCGTTTCAACTTGCTTCTGAACCACGTAAAATTTATGCTTGTTACCAAAAAATCCCCAAATAACAGCAATATTTTCAATAACAATGTTGAATGGAATGGCACAAAGGGCACCAATTAAGCAGAAGATAAACTTAGAATATCCTAAACGCATCAAACTAAAAGATTTGATAACACCAAAGATGTACATGTAAACGTTAACGGCACCCACAAAAGCGACTAGAGTATTGAAAAAGACGAAATCGTCAGTTGGTAGTGGGCATAACCATGCTAAAACAATGTTGGACGTGCTTAAAGGAATGGTCATCCATGCATAGAGAGACATGGTTAGAAACAGCTTATTTTGAAAAGGTATTTTAGGTGAATGAACAACCAGAAAGATTCCTTGTAACCATCTTTTTCTTTGTTGAATGAAATCAGATATGGAGAATGGTGACTTTTCCCACATTTCTCCTTCAATGAAATCAAAGGTATAACCTTTTTTATATGCTATCATTGAGAAGTAACAGTCTTCAGCAACCGATCCATCTAATCCATGGTCAAATGAAACGGCCTTTTCTGCTTTGTACTTGGTAACGACATAAGAACCTAGAAAGATTACAAAAATATTTTAGTATAACATAAAAATTCATAGAAATATTTAAACAGAGTTCTGCCAATATAAGAGTAAATACAGAAAATGTCACTAAGTTCAGGCAAGTTGATTAGGTTGATATTAGGTGAAAAACCTTAAAGCAAAATTTTGACAAGCAAATATGAAGTCTTAAATTTTACTCCCATAATGTTAGCTAATTATCTCAACTTTCAAGCGACTGTGCACAGAGATTAAGCAAATGGTTTACCGACGAAATCTGGAGCTTTTTCTCACTTGGCCTCATTTGTTACTTTTGAAGATGCCAATCAGAGGTAAAAATAAAATTGACATAAAACATGGAAATGTACATAGTTCATCTAGAGACAGTCATAGAGCAGTTTCTGTCTCATTTGCCTAAACTATTTGTGCATTTGATAAATTTCTCGGTAAAAGAGCTTTTCAGGTAAAATCTCGTATACCAAAGTTGACTATACAGTTCGAAAAGTATTTGCAAAAATATGTAAATATACGACCAAGAGTACTTGCTTGACTTTAGTGAGATTTTCTGCATCTTATCGAAATAAATGTCGATAGTTAATGACGCGGTTGCCGCGGAATGATCGTTTTGACGACTATTCTATTTACCTTTCCAGCTGAATAAAGGACGATGAAACATGTAGAATTGAAATCTAAGCTTGCCCATATCCTCAGCAACTCTGAAAGAGTCTGCTAAAGTTGTGAACCAATTTACAATAGATCCATTAGCATAAGTGATTAAACCTTGACCAAATTCATGTTTTCCTCTCATGGTAAAATTCAATACGCCACGAACAGAGTTTTCAGATACTAAAGTTTCTTCGTCAAGATGAACAATGTAATCTTCCTCTCCAAGAATATTAACATCATCTTCCAAACAATATTGAAGTGCTCGAGCCTAAAGTTAACGGGGTGAAAAGGATCAGAAGCAAAAATAATGAAAGAAAAGAATTAGTTATTCCGTTGAGATAAGACAAAAATGGATTTTTATAACAAAAGAGAAAGTTTGCTGGATAAGATAACATTGTTTCCTTCAGACTTTGATTGCATTAGTGTCAATCTCAGATCAACAAGAAATTCGTTATCATAAGTGAGTTACCAGGCAAGAGGTAATTTGTTGATGATTCATACCTTGTACAGAGCACCCGTTTTAGTTTTGTAATCAAGAGGTACAACAATTTCTCTGATTCTAGGATGTTTTTCCAGATTAACAGGTCTATCGGTGACCACTTCAAAGATAAAATTTTCAACACCAACTGCCAAGCAAGTTGATAAATTTTGTTGAACATTGGATTTGACCAAATCAGGATAATCTCCTCTGGTTACAGTTCGGAAAGAAATAAAAGGAGCTAACAATGGGCTGCCCTTTAATTTAACTTTCTTTGGAAAGGTGTTGTAGATGGTTAAGCCAAGAAAATTACATAGACACTGTGGAAGAGCGAGAAGAGCCAAAAATCTCAACAAATAAAGAATTGTGCAGGCAAAAACTCCATATTTAGCAATGGGATCAAACTTTTTGGCCTCCTGGTCGGTAGAGTAGATCAATTGAAAAATGAATATAATGATTAAGGTGAATAGAAGGCAACAGTGAAGCAAATGTTTGGTTCGAGAGTTAAATTTTAATGGAGAAAGCCATCGTGTTTGCGAAAGTGTCTGCCGTTGAAAAAGAGGTAATTGTTGCATGTTGGAAAGTCGATTAAACCAGTCATAAGCATAAACCGATAGATCAGTGATCATTGATGTAGACTCAAACTTGGCCAGAGAGCAAAACAAATCGCTGAGTAATTTGAAGAGTAATTCATCGCAGACAATTTACACAGAATAAAGAGGGAGTAAAATACAAGATGAAGGAAAAATGATCAACAGCAGATGAGTGCAACACGAATTAAAAAATGTAAACAGTGATTACATTTACATATGAATTCACCTTCCGACTGACACAATAATCATGCTTCTCCAAGCGAAATAGCAAGGTTGAATTAAACTAATCTTCAACCTATTAGGATTTTTAAAACAATTATTTGTCAGATAAATAAAGGCAACGCCTAAACAGATTAATTTCAGTGTTAGAATCAGAAAAGGAGGTGTCAATTTTTCACAGAAACAATATTTCCCAGGGAGTTTCACCTAATTACGAATAGCATTTGAAGATAAACATAAACTTTCGCCTGTTATATAATAGATGGCGCTTGCAAGTTTGAGTCTAAAAGCTTTTTTATTGGTTGATTTGAAAATCATTTTTGCCTCTCTATTCTGACAACAAATGATGTTTTTTAATGAAATTTTGAATCAGTTTTCCCCTTTCCTTTTCAATTAATTAACTGTTTCTTTAATCAATTAATTTTCTTACGTTATCATTTTTGTTTGTTTTGTTTTGATATTGTTTTCCTTCTGTTATTTCATCATGAGGTCAGTAAAAATTGCTGCGCTAATTGAAACGGTTTCACCATCCTCTTCTCTCAGTATGAAAAGGAAAAAAGAGGACAATGAATCGGAGAATTATTATACACCACCTTGTTTACCTTCTCAATTAAGGCAAAAATCCATCGGTAAGTAGTTTATTATTCTTTAAGCATGGTTGAGCAGTGTATCTATTGTATCTATCAGATGAACTGTTCATCTACTCTCTCATTCATGTTATACATGTCAAGATGTAATATAAGCATGGTCGACTCATTAATGTTTTATTTTCTCATTTTCTATTCTTTTCAGGAATTATTCGACGTTCTCTCAGTGAGAATATAACTCCGAATAAGGGATTCAAAAAGCCCAGAATGCTTTCCGATTCAGGTACACCACTTTCCACAAGGAATCAAATTTCACCTCCTGTTAAAGAAACTGTTAAAACTCTTGTTGTAAAGCCAGTTGATGACACTCCCGCAGTCGAGCTTTCTAATGATACCGAACCAATAAATAACCATAGGCTACCACAAAGTTCACCAGAGCATTTACCACGTCAGATATTTCAATCTCAATCGCATTCTCAGCTACAGCCTCAGCCCGCACGCCAGTCTCAGTCTCAGTCTCAGCCCGAGGTTCAAATTCAAATTCCAATCAAAGTGATGGCCCAACCAAAACAAAATCTCCAGCCTCAACTGCAGCCTCAACCTCAGCCTCAGCCCCAGCCTCAACCTAAGCCTAAGATTCAAGTCCCAATCAAAGCAACACCTCAACCACAGCTGTCTCAGCATCAACCTCTCTCGCAGCCAAAGCCTTTAGCATCAACAAGTGTAACTCAATTGCAAAATTCCCAGTATCAGTCAGAGCCAACTCAGGAAGAAGATGAAGATGATATAAAAGCTGAACCAGTTCCCTCGGGGTTTAAACTAGCCAGCAACAAGGTTCTTTTTCTGAATCATGTTGCACAAAAAAGAGTTGCATATTTAACAAAGCAGCTTCAGGACATGAATATAGATTTATCTGTTTATAAGGCTGATAAAGATAAAAAAGGACCAGTTCCACCGATTTCATGTCCCATAGAAAATATCTTGAATAACTCAAAATCAATTAATTGTCCGGATGCTGATGATGAAATCTGTAATTCAGCAGACGACGAGTTCTTACGCAATCTTGATGTGAATAATTTGGTTGGAAAAGAGGGTGTTTTTTAATATTCTAAGTTCTGTATTTATTTATATAAAATCCGATTTAAATACTTATGTGAAAAAAACTAACTAATTGAATGACCAATGAAAAAATTTGAAGTTGAAAATCAGAAAAAATACAATTTGTTATTTATTAAGCTTCAAGCATTATTATTAACCCATATCACAATTGTCTGAACTAAAATAGATAATAGATAAAGGCAAGTGGCGAAACAGAAGATAGTCCATTTACTGAAATGGAAGATATAAAATAAAAGATAGAAGACAAATAGGTAACAATAAATTGCTCTATCGGCGAATTTTCGCAAATTAACTCTCGGAGGTAAATTGACGATCTTCCGTTGAGGTGGATTACAACTGCTGGACATATTTTTCTCAAAATAGTAATAAGAAGTGGGCGGTGATAAAACAAGCTGACTTATCCAACCGATCATATCATCACGATTGTAAAGTTCAGAGAACACGGAATTATATTTTTCATTAATGAATTGTGAAACCATGATGAAGAAACTGACAAGAAAACTAATTTCATAACTGCGAACAGGTTGAAGATCAGGATTACCCTGATATTTAATTTCACCGGCTCCCTGTTTATCAACTGGTAAAGATCCTTGACCACCTCGTCTTCGTATTAGTGAAATATCATCACTAGTGAGATCAGCTCCAGTGTGTTTTGGTGTCATCATGATAGATTGATTGAAGGAAACTCTGTTTTGTGTTTGAGATTGTCGGGTTGGCGAGTCTCCAAACGATTGATCTAGGGATAATTGGGTTGTTTCCATTTCAATTGAAGCAAGATTTATCTCGAAAATGTTTGCCATTCGTTCACACAAAATTCCGGAATAATTTTCAGTCTTTTGTTTATCTGATATTTGATGCTTTTCATCGAGATCAGATGATTGGTCTTCCGTTGAGTTGAATGTTTTAATCAAATTTTTGAAGCTAAATGCTTCTTCTGATGTAGAAGATGCTGAATGAGATTTTATGTATTCTGTAAGCTCCTTCCGAGTGACCATTATTTTTCTCAGTAATGTAGATAATTCATTGCGAGTTGAATCAGAGAATAGACGAGTATAGGTGAAATCATTAGGTTCACATTCTAAAAGTGGATGGCGGTAAATAAGTCCAGCAGAGATTGGAGAATGGCAAGAACCTCTATAATTTGTTATCATAGAGAGACGAGAGTTCATCGATTTATTTGGTGACAAGTTATTTTCAAAGTTTTTCTCTGCGTCCTTTATCATTGAAACTAAACTACTTTGATGGTATACCTTGATCACTCTGAACAGCATGAATGTGTTAATTGATGAACTTAAATCAAGTCTCATAAATCGTGGAATTAATTGTCGGAAGATGACAGTGTAGAAAAAGAGATTGTCATCGATAAAGCGCTTCCATGAAGGGTCGATTGGCATGTTATCTGAAAATTTACTATCCCCATGCATAGCATCAGTTCCTTCATCACTTGCTCGACCAGAAGAAGGATCGATGTATCGCCATGGCTGAATAAAACTTAACCAAACCTCCAATGGTAATCGAAAAGAAGCGTCAAGAGGCCATTTGTCAAATGAGACTCTGATGAAACTATAAAATCTACGGAGGAAGATATACTTGCTGCTCCAGATGTTTTCTTTCAATTCATCCAACTCATGATTTTCAAAGAGGGAAACGTTCAAAGAAAGTTTTTTGTTGATCAACGAATTAACAAAGTAGTGTAAATGCTTAATCAATATCCGAACACATCTCATGTGATCTTGATTGTGGGCCAATAAGGGTTGAAGTTGAGTATGGGAAGGCATTTTTTTAAGAATGTGTTGCGGAACTTTTACATTGACCCATAGCTCAATTAGAATCGTGATAATTGTTTCCGCCTTGTTTAAATTGGAACCAAGTGGGTCTAAGATTTTGGTGTTATTTGCTTGATTAGAATAAGTCATCTCATTTGGCCGATTTAGAAGCTTTTTTAAATTGAGTAAAGATGTTTTGGGTAAGTTAAGAGAGCCACCGTTTTGACTTGAGTTAAGATGAAAAGTTGACGATAGCGATTGCCACAATGAGGATGGTGACTCTGGCATGGTTGATGATGATGAGCTTTTAGCAGCAGAAGATTCCAAAGGAACAAAATAATTAAGGTACATTTCAATAAGAGTGATATAAAGAATATTGGCAGGATTTCCATTGTCTAGATTTTGCATAACTTTAGAGCTGTGTACATAGTGAGCAAGATGAAAGAGGAAAAATTCGAACGCATTAAGAGATACACGATTAGGGACTACGGATGTTCCATCTGATACCAATCGATTAAGATAAAATTCTGATGGTAAGCCTTCTTCAATTAAACATCTACTTGGTAGCTGAAAAAAATGAAAAGAAGAGATTTTAAGCCGATGGAAGTTATGGATGAAATTTTCTGACTACAAAATGATTAAGTCATGTTTAAAATAGCTATTGGGCCTGAATAATAATAGAGTCGCAATACTTACAGGAAGGCATGAGACAGGAAAATAAAAACCGGCCAATTGGTCTTTCATTAAGTACCTAATCCATTGAAAAAGAGGTCCTTCTGGGTGCATTAAATTGAGTAAACTGTGAAACTCGGCTTGGTGAGTTTGACTCGAGATAAACCTAAGATTGATGTTACTGTCATTTTGATAGCCAAAGGCAAATAAATTTTCAACAATGCTAGGGAAACAATTTTGAATATCCAACTGAAAATAATAAGAATCAAAAATAAAACGATTAGATAAGGAAGAAAACAAAACATAGGTAAACACATACCTTATAATTTTCAGAAAGACTTTCTTGTATCAATAAACTCAATTCTTGACATTTTTCCACTAAATTGGCTCTTTTCAAAGCAACCATAAAACGAGCTTCAAACTGTAATGACAAAAGGCAATAAAATTAAAATTAACAATAGATTAATAATCTAAAACAAAACATGCTTACGTTTGTATTCATATTGGAAGTCCTGCTGATAGCTTTTTCAATCAACTAATTAGAGTGACAATGGCACTCAAAGCACTATCAAAAGGTAAACACTTGGATAGATCAACAATGAAATTAACAAATAAATTGCAGTAAAACGTAAATTGTTCATAAATTAATCAGAAAAAAGTCTGAATATAACAGTCACTCTGAAAAATTTAGCAAAGTCAGGTGAAAATAAAATAGACAGACTCTACAAAACAGCAGTAACCAATAACATGTTGACACAGAAAAGCGGTTTTTTCAAAATTTCACCGATTTTGGCGCCAAATGGTAAACAATTTCGATGTTAATTTACAAAAAGATCAACACAAGTTGACATTAAACTAATTGACAATTAAAGCATAAACAAGAGAGAAGACAGAAAAAAACAACTTTCACAAAATCCAGACACAGACAGGTTTCACTCACAATGAATATTACTAAACCTCAAGACAATGAAAATTCCACTTCATCAAAATTGCAAACATTTACCTAATTAGTTGGAAAGTTGAGTGAGTGAAAAAAATTGATTAAATTTCTCGATGGGTTGGCTGTTAATTTATCATTGTTGAACAGGGTTGAAAGGTAAAGCCAACAGAATAATAGAAGATGATCACAAAAACACAACAAGGTTGATAAACAATGATTTCAAAGGAAATGGCATGTTAACACTCCAATGATTTTACAATTGCATCGAGGCAATCAAAAATCAGTGTTGATGTAAACTGTTGAAGAGATGATGGTTAAGATGATGGTAATGAAGAAAAGCAGAAAAAAATGAAGTTAGAGTTGGTTATATGATGATTTATTTGATCGGTTGAGTTGAAGATGAAAACGATTGAAGATTAAGAGTCTTAAAAATGAAAGGGGAAAGGTTTGAAGGAGATGAGACTATTGATGTTGTTGTTGTTGTTTATTGTTAATGATAAATAGTGAAATTACAAAAAAAGTGTTTCTACTGAATTGTGTCATTCAATTTCCAGCTCATCGAATTTTCAGTTTCATCAATTTTACCAGTTAAACCAGATGATTTTTGGTTAACCTTTTCCACTTACAACTGTTTTTACCATCGCCATCTTTTCGCCTGTTCACAATATTATTTATTTCGTGCTTCACAATTTCCCTCTAATATCTCTGAGTGTTTCATGTGTTGATCAACTTAATTTACTTGTGTCAACAGCTCTTCATTGATTATGCATACCACATTATTAATCAATTTACTGAGAAAATTAGATTAGTAAACTACTTCTCAACCTTCAATGTTTTCACGCTAACAACATATTGTTACCTTTAAACAGTCTCTGGTTAACTTAACATGGTGAGTAAACTGTAATTTTTATATTTTTTTATAATTTTCAGTTAATCGAACCTTAAATTATTAGTGAAAGTCAATTAATTATGATGTTAATCAACTTTACATATGAATTGAAATTGGTGATAATTTCCATTGTGGCTCCATCTAATATTAGACAATTAAGATCTTCACATTTTGTTTACATTTTTCAATTTTCTGGTTTTTTATTCTTGCTTCAGTTTTAAGAAAATTGAAATTAAAATTAAATATTTTACATTTGTGTGAATTTGAAGATTTTTTCAAGTTTAATCTGAATTTAGGATAAGTGAAGTGAATCAATGGAAGATTAAGCTTTGATTAAGATTAGGCTTTGAACTCAATTTTGTTTCAATGGAAAGCAAAATATTGACTCAAACTGTTCATTGTATTAGTGAAAGATTTATGCTAATCGTCTAAGAAAATCAATTTTGTGGAGTTTTCTGGTTATCGTTACCCAAATAGAGATTGAATTTAAAGAATACCAGCTTTTAATATCGATTAGTTAATTAAATTATTTGAAAAAAAACTATCAATCAATGAAGTTAAGCCAACAAACTGAATCTTACCAAAGCAAATTCAAGCCTAGACTCTACGGTTAGATAAGATGATTCGACTCGTACTCTTCCAAATTTGATTGAAATAAATTGAAATTGAACTCTTGATCAGATTCAAAGTTGAATTAACATTTAAATTAACAAATTAGAGTCCAACATTAACTGAATTACAATGAATAAGCAAGAGAGAAACCAGTTTCAACCTAAAAAAAGAGTAACATCAATATCATCACCAAACCAGCCTAACCTTACCAATACCCAAGCAATTGCATCTTTTATTGATACTTTACTTTGTTAAAAACCCTAATTAAACCTAATTTTTGTCAATCGTATTAACAGTGATTGAATTAGTTGCTTTAAATAGTCTCTAATCAAGCTGAACAAAAACAATAGTAAATAAAGCAATTTTAGGTCAATACCTAAAGCATTTGAAAGATCAAAAAACAATGAAAAGCGACTTTTTTGGTGTTTATTTTAAGTCGATCAACAATAATCATTGTCATCGATTAAACACGATGATAATGTTTGATAATAATGTAAAACCAATGATTTAAAAAGCATTTGAAAAGCCATTACAATAGTTTACCATTTAAATGAGTAAATCTGTAATTGAATCAGAAAGCAATTTCAATTTTCACAGCAATTCAGCTCAGCAAGTTGAACCTTTACATTTAGGTCTTTGAATGTCAATAAATAATTCAAAACAAACCGAAAGACAAATGAAAATGATCAATTTTAATGAAACAATTGTCAATGTTGGATGTAACCAGAAAAAAGACCAGAAAATTTGTATTCTCTTTATTGTCTTTAATTGCATTTACTCATCAACTGTATAAATGTTAATGTATATTGAGCAACAATTGTCAAGGTTTTACCTTTTCACTTGATTATTCAGTTTCATTATCAATATTGAATCAAATTAAATGGAAATCTTTTCTTATTCAGTGATTACTGACCCATGATGGTGAGTCTCAATTACCTTACAAGTGATTAAACCTACAAAAATAACAATTGAACAGCAGCCTTATTCAACAAGTAAAATAAAACTGTCCAGTAAATGTTGAAGTAACAAGCAAACAGAGTTCACATTAAGTTGACCTTAACTGACAAGTTGAATTGTCCAATTGAACAAACAATGATTCAAGTGTATTAGCCGATATAATCAATGAAATGTTGCTCAACAAATCATTACATTGAAATGATATTTTAATCAAAAAACATCGACAATCTTTGTCTCTAACCTGACAAATATATCATTACAAACAGAGCATTCACTTTGCTCAACAAAACCATTTTTTCGCCTTTTCAATTTTCTGGTTATTCTGGTTAAGTTATAGCAAAATGAAAAGCTTTATTTATGAATTGTTTCCATTAATCGAGAATCCAAATGAAAAGAAGAGTAAACTGTTTGAAATGAGAAGCTTTTCAAAAGATATTTAAAGGTATTTCAAAGTAGAGAATAGCTTTTCGAAATGTTCACCAATTTAGTTTCAATGTGCAAATAAATTATCTTTTTGTCTATTCTAATCATGATATTAATCAAAATCACCAAAAGATATAAAACCAAAGACTTTTAATGTTGATCGTAAAAAAGGTTTTTATTCAATCGACTGGTTACCAGATAAAACCCAATAACTGGTTGCATCCAAATTGGCTCTTTATTCATATTCATTACGATTCCAGGTAAAACAGATTTTGATGTTGTGTTACATGGAAGGTCACAAGACTTATGGTTGATAAATCTACTGGGAGTGAAGAAAATTAATTGAAACAATTTGTTGACAAAAAGTCTGTATTTGTTTTCGATGTTTTGGAAGCAATGAAAGTTGAATGTCATGAACCTCAATGTTTAGGCTGATCTCAAGTTGAAGATGAACTTTGAATAATGCTTTTCGTCTCGATCAACAATCTGTGAATGTTGGTGCAAGTATATGTTGAATAAACTATAACCTTAAACTTGATTAAAGACTAATGTGAAGATAATTTTCGTTTTTTTTTCTTCCATTTTTTTCTCTCCTTCTGAAAACTCTTTTAGATTGGATTCAATTTTCATAGTCAATCCTTTTTTCACCTTTTATTTATCACCTGTTATTTAGTTGAAAGTAGCTACACTTTTTCATGGTTTGATTCATCATCTTCACCTTTACTTTCACCTAAACGATTTTGGTTTGATGATGAAACCCTGAATCCAATTGGCAGTTCATCATCATTCGTCTCTTCCCAACCAAATGCTCGTAAAGATGATCAACTAACCCTCTCTTCACAGATGCACACTTCACACAATTTAACTCGATTTTCCTTCTCACCTGAATCAGATAATCGATTTGAGAAAATTTATCTCAAATTTATTTCACAGCTTCCATCCAACTCGAGATATTCAAGATTTACGCCTAAATCAGAAAATAAATTGTTCACTTCAGGTAATTACTTTCAAATAAGCTTAAAGAGCAAAAAAATTCTCACCTAATTCAAGTCGATTCTTTATTCTGTTAATGGAGAAAAGATTAAATTCAGCTTTTCCTGATCAACGATTTGAATATTTTAATCTTCAAAATTTTCTTTTCTCTTGAAAAATCGCCTTTAGACAAAAGAGTAACAGCATTTTGGGAAGATCAATATGAATCTCCGTTGAGAGGTTCGTTAATGTCGAACCTGTTTACACCAAGAGAAATGGAGAAAAATGCCTTTCAAATGAACTTGAATTTAAACATGGAGCCCATCAAGGAGACACATTTGATTCCACACTTTCCATTACCTTCAACCTCATCTTCATCTCTCGAACCCTTATTCACTGATTCGCCTTTGCCTTCTTTAACAACTTCTCATTTTGGTTTCACTCAAGAACCTTCTTCCACTTCTTCCGGATCATTCAATTTGGATGATAAAAGAGAACGAAATTTATTCCGAAAAAGAAAATTTTTCCGTGAACAATCGAACCTCAATTCAATGGCAACTTCGACCCACTCCAAGCCATTGCCTTCAATGCGTAGTCACAAGCATCTCTCAACAAGTGATCTTGTGGGTAAAGAGAGTCGAGCTCTTGATCAACTTGCTTCACCAGCTCTTGTTGCTGATGAAAACAATTGTCGGACAATTGTCAAGCAAGTAACTGAACTTCCAGGAGTTCGACCTAAAAAGATTGTCAAATTGATTCGTTCACGTCGAGCTTTGAATTTACCGGATAAACATTTAATCACCTTTTACATGTCCAAGAATTGTACCGAACCATTGATCAAATCGAAAGGTGCCATTGCAACAGCGAGCAACTTGAAAACCGTTAAAGGTAAAACTCTTTAATCCATTCTAATCTTTCTATTAATAGTTTTCTCTTTGTTTCTTTCAGTCTCCATTTACAGGCAAAAGTTTTTGAACAGCTTCAAGTTACCCGAAGAAGTAAACTTTGATTACTGAAATCTTCAAATTTGAATAAACCTGTTGATGCTGATAATATTGGAAAACATTGAATCGTGAAAACGAATTACTTAAGCTTATTAAATTTTACTTTTTTAAATAAACTTTCGACTCTCATATGTACAAGTTATAAATTTAAACGAAATTCAATATTTTCTTTCAGAATAAAGTTCATTTATTCTGGTATATTCATGGATCAATTCAATTTTTTTCCTGCAAAAAGCAAAAAACTTCTTAACCAGAACCAATTTTCATTCACTTGGAATTCAGGAAAAGGAACGCAAAGTAATCCGATTCTTGTGTTTTCTCAATATTTAACCTTTTCCAGGGTAAAATGTTTTCTCACTAGAATCACGTTGATATTGTTGTAATATGATGATTCTGATTGTTTAGTTATTTCCTTTGAGCATAAAAAATAAAATGATTGTTAAAAGTAACATTATAAGCATTAATTTGTTTGTCTATCTAAAGGTTGCACATCGTCTAGAAGTTAAAGCTTCAAAAGGTATCCTCTATTGAGCATAGTGATCATGATAAACGAAACAATTTCCGAACAGAACTTAAGTTTTAAATGGTGAAAATTGAGTGACAGAAATAACGACAAAAGTAGGATAATGGTGAATTGGAATGGCTATTGTTCAACAAAATAGAGCAAAAACAAGAATTCAATAATTCAATAGCAAAAATAGACTTGAAATTTTTTAGAAAAGACTTAAATCTTTATGACGAGACTTGCAATCCAAGCCATTGATCAATGATCATCCCACTGGCTTGAGACTCGTCATCAGCTTGAGGATCAACAGCAACCGATAACTTTGGTTAGTCAAGAAACTCAGCTAATGGCTATTAAAACAAATTTTATCCATTCATAATCACATGAAACTTTTACTGAGCATATCAACACAATGCATGGAGATTGTGATTTCATCTTTTTTGATTCTAACCATGCCTTTGGAACAATTTACAACTAGTAAATGTCATTCGTAGTGTTTGAGTACTTGTTTGAGTTGTAAATTTTTGTAGGTCTAAAGGTGAAAGGAATTTAGTTTTGACCATTCAATCAAAGAAAAAACCCTTTTCAGTGTAAAATGATACATTTAAATACCATTACTGGACGATATTTATTTTGCATTTAAATGTATAATAGCTATTGGCATTTTATTTGCTCGAGTCTTCGGGTTGCATTATTTTCATTTCAATAGGTTGCAAAGGTGATTATTTTGATTTATTATTTGCACATTTCGAGGAAAGTATTCATTTTAAATGAACTATGTGAACATTTGTTTGACCAAATTGACTAGTTTCAATAGTAAAATTGGGTAAAAGCTTGCTTACAAGCAATATTTACTCGCCCTCACTATTTATTTATTTTGATTGCTTGACAAAAGCTCATGCAACTGAATCAGATAAAGTTTCTTTCCATCCTCGAATCCTCATGTTTTTTCCAAATCTCTAGAGATTGTTCATGTCTAAACTTTTTTCTTCCCTTTTTTTCATTCGCAGCAAAACTTTGTGCTCTTCAAATTTTGGACTTTTTTGCTTCTCAATTTTTGTCGTTTCCTCTTGAAATTGGACGAGAATACTAAAAAACCAGACAAAATATGAAAAAAATGTTGACTTATGAAGTGTGTTGAGGTGAATAGTGAAGTTAACTAAAATTTTAAAACTCGAGGCAAAAGTTCGAAAGTGGAATGATGAAGCAGTTTCCAAGGTAGTTATGAATAATCTATTGGAATCAAAATTTCATGATTAACATGTTTAATGATCATAAATTGTTTTTACTTGAATTTGGTAATCTCAGTATAATTGATGTTTCAAAAACTCAAGGGTTGAATTAAATCTCTTTCACTGTTGAAACGCTTGACTAAACAATCAACTTTGGAAAAATAATGAAGGTTTAGCATTTAATTGGCATTTAATAAGGATCAGCTTATGAAGGAAAGAAAAGTGAATATTCATAGTTTATTTTTAGCTCCATTTGATTGCATTTTCGAGCATCGATTGGCGTGAAAATTCAGGATTAAAAGATTAACTCACAAGTTAAACAACACTTTTTCATCGCTCAAACAGTTCAACTAATTGATATCTAGAATGGATCAAATTCAAGATTACTGTAACTACATAAATCCGGAGCGATTGAATAAGATTGATGAAAGTTCAAGTCAAGAGTAAATGGCAATGTTGAACATATTTAGTTGCTTAAACTCCAGAAATAGATTTTTTTCATTAGTCAGTTTTGATTAAATAAATGAAAATTTATTTGCGAACTATTGTGTAACATCCGAGAATGTAAACCAAAGTCAAGGAAAAACCATTGTTCATGGTTGGTGGAAATGTACACAATTCATCATGAAAAGTTCATTGTCAAAGGAGCTATATTTGGTTTCAAATGTTATATGAAGACTAATAATAACATTGTTATTAATAGAATCGTAAGTCAAATGATGAAACAAAACTTGATATCAATACAATGCATCTTTCACTCCATGCAACGTTTAAATAATTTCATCTGAAAAATTCTGATTTAGTGAATATAGCTAAAGTTTTTTATGTTAAAATATATTCCTTGACAAGTGATGATTAAGAATTGAAACTTGTTTAATATGTTGAAAATTGTAACATTAATCCGTTAACAGAGAGTGTATTCAATTTATGTGCATAATTTGTCTTTTCCTTTTTGTTTAATCTTTACTGCTTTTTTCATATGTAGTATTAATATAACTTGACCATCGCTTTGTTTTGCAGTTGAAAATTGCAACAGATCAAAAGGTCTTGTTTGACAAGTGAGAGAGTAAATTTTCTAAATGGAATAACTTGAGATATTCTTAGGAATTGTACTGGTTTTTAGAAACTTATGATTATCAGGTTTCTTGAGGATTGCAAGAATGCAAATGCTCTTTAAAATGTGCTACTGAATTGTAATATCTACTTGATATCTGGTCAAACATGTAAAATGATATTGTATCGACTCTGCACTCTTATCTCTTTGCCTCTTGAAAAATTTATCAAAGAAATGCTATCTAAAACTATCAAGAAACAATTCAAAACTCGACTTATTTGGAAAAGAGGTCAGCTAAAGTTATCAAATGCTAAATTTAAGCATGTTTAAATATGGACCAGGACTACATATTAGCAGGGCTGCAGCACTCGCTTCACTACAAACACTTTCCATTTATAATATTCTTAAGTCGATACTAGCTCTTAATAAAACTCAAAGAATTTCACCAGATGAGAATTCAGAAACCGATCAGTGATTTTTGAGACCACGAAAATAGCCCTTGAGTAGATTAGTGAGAATCGTTTGAATTGTTTTCACCAAGTATCGGAAAGGGTAACATCTGTCACCAGTTGGCCTTTCATCTATGTTATTGATATTTCCTATTAAAGAATCTTTTAAACTCGAATCTAGATTTTGCATGTAGTTTCGTTGTTTGCGTAGTGTTGGGGAACCACAGACAACATTATATGATATCTCAAATTTTTATCGTGCCATTGGAAAAAGTCACACTTAAGTATAGGAAATATACTGACTATCGTGAGGTAGATTACAATATCAAAGTCAGATAATGAGATTAGTTCAACAGCAAGCACATAACAGCTATCTGGGAAAAAAATCAATCGAAATAACAAAAATAAACATTTAAGCCTTCAAATCACTACATATACAAAGTTTGCAACCTAAATTGCTTAACGTTTTAATAATGAAGGTCTTTTAAAATGCCAAATTAATTTTAATGACTAAACATTCAACTCAAAATCCTACAAACTTTTAAACCTTGCGCAATCGTGAAACGTCTTCCCAACGCAAAATGCGAGCTGAAATTTTCAATAACCAAGTGTACAAGCTTACGAAAATCAATCCTAGCCTATCAAACACTTGTTGTGCCCAGTTTCTTCATTCAAATCTACGTATTATCAATAATACATTTTATTCACCAAAAATGCCAACATCGTAAAATGCATGAGGTCCTTGAAATAGGTTTTAAGCAAGCTAAGAAGACTTAACTTGTAACAATAGTGGATGAGTTATTCACGATCAAACATGCTTCAAAGGCATTACATAAACGGGTGATTTAGGTCACGGGGATAGTGGTGTTTCATGCGCTTCTAAATCATACTCCTTCCATTTTGATATCAGTACTACCTTTTTTGCATTCTAGCACTAATTCAATCAGTTTATTAAAATCTAAAATTCAAATTTCTGTGAAATAAAATGTAGCAAGTTTGCACTGATTCAAATAGCATTTAAATCAAAAAGTTAGAATTTGCACCTAACAAGTAGGCGATTTAAAATTTACTCCATTGAGTAAAACAAACTTAATCCGGGCGGGGCAGGACACGATGTCGCCAGACTAACGGAAACATTGATAACGCGAGTTCGGCGATATCAGTGAGCTCGCATTATCAATGGTCTCTTTGGTCTCGCGAGTTCAATGTCTTCAGACGCAAAGCAATCGTAAATCGATAATCATGACGAAAAGATGAAATTAAAAGACTAATTGTATAAGAAAATAGCACACAAAACCATCTATCATAGTTCCAGATCGATTTATTTGATCCTGGAAAGAAATCCCGATTTTGAACAAAAAAGAGAAACCAGCAATATATTTGTAAATCAATCTATTTTTTCATAAAGATATCTCATGTAACTTGCAAAAGAGTGCTACAATCCTTTTACCGGTCGCCCAGCTGTTGGGTTAGCAATTCGTGCATCTAGCACATAAACACCTTTTCCAGTTCAAGGTATATTTTTCTTCTTATTCCCATCGCACGGGCCAATTTTTACAATCATGGTACGGTCCACAAGCAACTCTGCAGTAAGACTGACGAGTTCCAGCTCGACGGCCAAGAAGCCTTGCTTACAGTATCGACAGCGATACTTAGGTTCCTTTTCTTTGGCCGTCCGGCTCCTAAATAATTTTGAATCGTCTGGTTCAAGGCCCCATGGCACATCTTTGTCCGTGTTCACATCCTGAGCTAGAATAAGGCTATTGGTCCATGCGGTGACATAGACGTGAACTTGTTCACCGCCAATCCGCAAGTATCCTTGCTGAACTTGGTCAACAAATGGCTCCCACTAGCCACTGCGCCTGATCTCTCTTCGTCAATGACGGTGGCATCGAAATCCTCACCATTATTAGCATCACCATCCGTGCGGGAAGTGCCAGGTCGGTTCGGCTCTAGATGAGCAATGCAAATTCTAATTTTTTGATTTAAATGATATTTGAATCAGTGAAAACTTGATACATTTTATTTCACAGAAATTTGGATTTTCAGATTTTAATAAACTGACTGAATTAGTGCTAGAATGCAAAAAAGGTGCTGATATCAAAATAAGGGGAGTATGATTTGGAAGCATATGAAGCACCACTACTCATGGGGATCTCATGAATTGTTGGCTCTTAAACTCCAATTATTGCATTTTTACAATCTTTTTCTGTTTGAGGATTGTTTCTGTAAACTCTAACGAATCTTGGGTTGTTTAATGTTTGATCTGAATCTTGGACGACTTCAGTCCTAAATAACTCTTCAAAATATTTTGCACCTTTTAGAAAAATCGCTAATTGCAAAACATCGCGAATTTTGATTTTTCTTGCGTTGTTTCATTTCGAGTTGGTTTTTTACGGGAAAAAGGTGAACATGGCCTTCTTCACGCACGGATATCACAATTATTGAGAACCTTATGCTAAATAAGCTAACTACATTCGAAAAATCACTCATTTTGAAGTTCAGTAAAACTTCTTGAAAACGGAAATAATCATCAACCGACAATCTAGATTGACCACATATTAAAGAATTTGGTGGACTGCATGTATTGCAGCTAGTACATGCATGAAGCTTGTTAGTTTTTTGACTTAACCTTAGCTCGTGACCCGAATAGCCTGAATAGACTTACAATATAATTGCGTATCCACGAAGTTTCATAGAAAAATTTCTAGCCTTACAGACACTCAGGGGCAAGTAATAGCCGTTTTAACAACGGGAAATGCAACTAATATGCCCTCAGCTTGCCTGCCAACTATGGAATGTTACTTGTCTAATAAACCTTATCTATTGTAAAAATCGAGTATATGCTCAAAAATATCGCTCTATCTGAGAAACCGCGTTCCATGACTGCTAAAGACAATATTGCGAATTTCATTAATGCAATCATATCAAGTAAACGCAAAATAAGCGCAGTAAATCCTGTAGAAGACGACAATAAACTGAGAATAGAAAATGTAGTTTAATGATGATTTCATTTAATGATGTACTAATCCATTAACGAAAAACACATTTTTCATTTTTAATAACCTCTTTACGCAAGACATCAGGAATCACAAAAGCAGCATTTATAAAACTATCATGATTGCTGTATTTATCATGGTTACTCCTTCCGGTTTAAATATCAAATAATGAAAAATGTTTATTTCTATCCTCATCATCATCATTATGATACAAGTTGAATGGATAATAAAAAATAATTTTTATCATCTTTCATCATTTTCCATCTTGAACAACATGAAACAACATTTTAATGGCCAATTAAATTACCATTGAAAGGCAATTTGCTTATAAACATGAATATATCCATTCAGTATAAGTACATGCATCCAAAGATGAGCAAAATAATGTAAAGATAAATTAAGTAAAATAATCAAATCTCTCAACCATTTTTACTCAACATTTTATTGTTTTTCCGTTTTCATCCTGACTTTTCCTCTATTCAACAAAACGAACACAAAAGATGCTAAAGAGAGCAAACAGAAAAGGCAGCAAAAAATTAAACCTGTATCTAAATTTTGTCAAACATGAAATTGTACCAAAAATGTTTCAAGTTTGCAATATTTCAAGAAGACGAAAAAAAAGACTGATCAAGAATCACATTAAGTTCGACATTCAGAAAAAGCCAAGATTATCACCATTTGATGAAACGAGTTGAATTTAAAAATTGAAGATAAAAAATCGTTTAAGTTTTCTCTCTTATCCTTATTGCATTAATATCTGTCCAAGTCAAGATGCTCAGTTTAATCTCGACCTTTCTTCATTCTCAGAGTATTATTTTTATCAGAGTTTTACTTTTTTGTCAGACGAAAAATGTACACTTTCATGATAGTTGCTTGAGTTGCCTCTCATCCTGTAAATCATATCACAGCAAGGATATTTTACTTTGAGAAGTTTGTCAATTCTTCCTCACTAACCAACAACACACTCCAAGTGTTTACAACTTTTTTTTCCTCTTCTCTTGTTTTGCTCTAAACAACTTCTCAGCATTCTCATCTTTATCATTACTTCTTCTTCAATCAATCTGGAATCAGTTTAATCTTTTCTCATCCTCATCAACTTACCTTCAACATTTTTTGCCCATCGCAAGACACAAGACGCAGTTGCAACAAAATGAAGAGAGAGAAAACTCAGAAACTTTAACTGCAACCAAAATTCATCATTTACTTTCCTCATTCCCAGTCATTTACTCTTCATCCATGTCAACAGTTTGTATCTTTCACCAGAGTATAAATAAATCCTCAAAGTTATTGTCTAAATTGACTAAATACACTTTGGAATTAGAGATTAATTTGATAATCTCGGTGGACATTTTGTTCTGAAAAAAGAAAAGAAAATTTCCATCATTTGATAAATTAACCTCAATTTTTAATCAACAGTTATATTTACGTAGATATTGCAATATGTTGCTATCAACAGTGTGACCGACACATTATGCCATTGCCAATCATAATCATCCTTTTGTTCTTGAAGCAAAGTCAATCAATAAAAGTTATCCAAACCAACCATTCTGATCAATCATTTCATGTTTGTACAAGCCAAAAAGTGAAGGGAAAAAGTTTTTCACCAGAAAACAAAAGTTGCACCAAATCAGAGTCGAAAATCGTTTCAACACTTCACCTCAAATCTTGTGTTTTTGGATAATTTGTGCTTTTATATTTACTTTTCATATCTAAAAGTTTTTATCAAAATTCGGATAAAATTTGTGAATAGTCAATATCAGATACAAACCTTTTCCATGTCTTTACCAAATATCGATATAATTGAAAGTCTTATTGAGAAGAAAAATCTTTCTCAACAGACTTGTGAACCTCCAATCGATATAAGCTCGTTCAACTTTACCGACTATGATTACCAACGAACCCATGGAATTTTCAGAGATTTCAACCTCAAAGAATATTGCAAAATTTTCTTTTCTCTTTTCGTCATTTTGATATCAGTTATTGGTAATATTGGAGTTTTGTTTTCATCAACTTTTAATCGTTCCATTCGTCACACTATACACATTTATCTATCGAATCTGGCCATTGCCGACCTTTTCATTTCCATATTTTGCATGACTGTTTTCCTAATCAATAACCTAACGGACCCATTGTTCATTCTCGGACCAATTGTGTGCAAGCTTAATGCATTCGTGCAAAGTGAGTACAACCTTCAAGTTTTTTTATTCTTGAAACTCAAGGCTACTTCAATGATCGGCAAAAACATTTTTCTTCCAACTTTAATTCCATGTTATTCAGTGAACAAAAAACAACTTGATGATGAATCATGGTGTGAAAACTTGAATTGCAGTTAATTTCTTACATAGAAACTCTTGTCCATTATTCTTTTGATTCAAGATTCGTTGGGAGTTTTCACTCCCAATAGTTTGACTTGATAATGTTAACAATATCTTCATTAGCAATTAAAAGAATCTCTTGATGATAAATCCAGGATAAAGTCGGATAAAGGTAAACATTGCAACAACTGGAATGGTTCCTTGATTCAGATTCTCTGTTTCTTTCATTATTCCATTGAGAATTTTCCGCTACACTTTTTCTTCCATTTCATGTTGTTACTTGACAAAGCTAAACTCTTACAGATTGTTTTGAGTGTAACGAATATTTCTGCACAGTTCATACAAAAAGCTAAACGTTTATCAAAAACTTTCCTCATAATGATTCATACAGTCGTTTCATGTCGATTTTCACAGACTTACCATGAAAGCTCTCTCTGGAATCGCATTGGATTTTTCAATTTTCCTTTTTTTTGATAAAAACTATTTTCAAAAACTTTGTTCTCTTGATTCAACAAACCATACTTTTAATCAAGATTAAACATCGGAAATTTAATTAAACGTTTAAAAGTAGACTAAAACTTATCTCTAGATAATCTTTCTCCATGAAACAGTCAACTTGACAAATATTTGGTTGAAACTTGACTTGACCAATATTTTTCAATTCAATTTTGTATTAAATAAATTGTTTACTCACGAAAACAGGAAATGAGTAACGAAATTTTTATTATTTAATGTTTCAAATCCAATCTGACTCACTGCGTGGTTTCATCATGTGAAATGGTTCAAAGTAGAATCTCGACATTTTTCATTTCCTAAGTTCTTTGGTTTTTTCCAAAAAAAAAGAAAAAGTAATTTTTTTCCAAAATTTGTTCACCTCTGGTTAAGTTATTAGTTTGGTGATTTTTCATTGAGCTTTTCACTTTCATCATGATATGATCATTGGTCAAAGTTATTGAATGGTACAACTTGTTAACAAGTTGTCACAAATTCATTTGAAACGTGAAGACTAAAATAATGAAAATGTCAACATTTTCCATTCCTTCACCTATTCAAGCAATTCTGTCCAGTGAGACATAACATTGACAGTTATGCCATTCACCTGACATGTCGCTGAATCGACAAGTGATGCATCTAAAACTCGATTATCGTAGACCTTAATGAACCCAAACTCGAGACATCAATAAATGCTGTTCATTTAATTATTCAATTGTACAAATTTTTTCAACAAAATAGTTGAATTCGATTTTTTTCTCCTGAAAACACAAAGAATTTCAATGATAAATTGAACTTCAAATCTGGAAAATGTTAGCACGTCAAGAAAAAAGAGAAAATCAAAGTTGGAACAAGGATGAAAAGAAAATTTCATTTTTCTTCTTTTCAATCATTTTTCTTTTCTCTTTTCAACTTTTACAAATTTTCGTTTTCCTTTACCTTCAACTAAACAAAAGTAATATTTTTTGCCATCTAAATAATGATAACCTTTCATTTCATGTTGTCGATATTTTCCAACTCATGATATATCAACTCATTTATCAGGTAAAAATGAAAGAGAAAAAACAAAAGTCAGAATAATGTTTGTCATAAGTTTCAATATATTGACCTTATATTGGCCAGAAAAAGGTTGAACAGAGAAAATCGAAAAATTTTGTTCTCTGTTAGAGTTTTTTGTCTGATAATGTTTTGCACTTGAAATATCGTTGAACAACTACAGAGTCAAGTTCAATTATTATGTTGACCATTAGCCAATATTGATACACCAATAAGGGTCAACTTTTCGATTGTTATCGAACATGGTTCAAAAGATTTTGAAAAGATAAAGAAAATTTTGGACTCGCTTTGAATTCAACATTTTCTGTTGTTGCCATCATTTTCTTTGTTGCATTTTACTTCAGAACTTTTTTTATTGCCAATTCATTCGCTAGAAATCAATTCCCGGCGGAAAATGATTAATAAAGTTGAACAATATGAAATAATGAAATGGAACGAAATGTGTTTTATCTCGCCTTTTCACCGCTTGTGAGTTGCATTTATTCATCTCTTGAGATGTTCCCAATCGACTCAACTTTTATTTCTCTCTTTATGATGAATTGCACTCTTGTTCGTAGCTCAAGAGGATAACGTGTCTAATACGTGAGAAGTGATGAAAGGGTAAAGTTTGTTGAAAAGTTTATTCTCTCAACATTCCATATCTGACCATTTTTCATGACAACTTTGAGTAAGTGCAAAGTTTCATTCATTTCGTCCGACTAATAGCTTTGGCTATAACAGAGTTTCTTTTGTTGGTCCAAATGAATGTTTCAATGAACCATCCAGAGAGCAAATTATTCACAAGACTGACAGTGAATGACATAATGCTTGACCATGAAAGGTTGAATAAAAGAAGAAAAGTTCTGTAGAATGGTTCGATTCTAAAATTCTTTTCAAAACTTTATTTTGTTGGAAATTTTAGATCAAATAAAATGGAACATAGAAATTGATGAAAAAAGAAAATGATGCGAGTCTTGAAAGTGGATAAAATGGTCTTGAAAAAGTTGGTCATTTGAATGAGAATAAGATCTTAAATTGTCATTTGATTCTTCAATTTGTAACAATGTGATGATCAATTGATTTTTGATGCTTTTCAAAATTATTAGATGAATGATCATAACTTTTCAAGTTGCAATAGAAAGTGCTAATTTTAGTAGAAAAACTACAAGTTCGATAAAAGAAATTAGAATTTCGAACTTGATTGATTCTCTCGAGATTTATTTTCTATGTTGATATAATTAGCAGAACTGCAGAATCACTGTGTAGCTGAAATCGAAAGTAATTAAGATAAAAGAGTTTTGCTCATCATTAATCCAACCAAATGTGAATTGATGAAATTTTAAACTTCGAGTTTCTATTTAAAGTAAAACAATTTTAAACGACAACGACACGAAATTGTCTCACTGCTGTAATCGATAATATTAGAATTGCCAAAAGCGAAACTGTACTTTCAGAAGCTACTCTAGAGCATGGAAAGTTTCGTGATGAAAACGCGCACGTCCCAATCAACATATGAAATTATGTTGAAGCAAAAAGCGCATTTTTTGAATCATTTTTGATTCCGGTACGGAATCAAAATCTTTCAAAAAGGAGGGTGACAGAAAGCCTATGTAAAACTGCCCATTGTGAGCCAGCTATTTGATAGTGCCATTCGATAGAGGACATATAAACAAGTAAAAGTCCCCACGGGCATAAATTTCCCAGTGCGGACTTAAGGCATGAAAAACGCGTTTGGAAGTCGGAAAAAATAACATCGAGATAACAACTTTTAATGAATATTCGAGGCTTATAAACGATAATTAAACATGCCTTTAAGTTTATTTTTTGCAAACAATACTCCGTTAGCTAATTAACTAAGTTTTTGTGTATTAAAGTATAAGGAGTTGCCAGATTTGGCAAGAAAGTTAGTGAGCCAGAGATTTGATAGACTTTTTGTAGGTTTTTATAGATGGCATTTCACCTGAGCTACGTTTGTTTATTGTCATTTCGGACTTTCGTGTATTTCCAGAGTTTGTCAACTTTCACCCCGGTGCTGCCTATTCTTTAACATGCATGAGCCAGAGATTTGATAAGATTTTTATAGGTTTTTATAGATGGCCTTTCACCTGAGCTACGTTTGGTTATTGTCATTTCGGACTTTCGCGTATTTCCAGAGTTTGTCAACTTTCACCCCGGTGCTGCCTATTCTTTAACATGCGTGAGCCGGAGATTTGATAAGATTTTTATGGGTTTTTTTAGATGGCCTTTCACCTGAGCTACGTTTGGTTATTGTCATTTCGGACTTTCGCGTATTTCCAGAGTTTGTCAACTTTCACCCCGGTGCTGCCTATTCTTTAACATGCGTGAGCCAGAGATTTGATAAGATTTATATAGGTTTTGATAGATGGGCCTTTCAACTGAGCTATGTTTGATAATTGTCAATTCGGACTTTCGTGTATTTCCAGAGTTTGTCAACTTTCACCCCGGTGCTGCCTATTCTTTAACATGCATGAGCCAGAGATTTGATAAGATTTTTATAGGTTTTTATAGATGGCCTTTCACCTGAGCTACGTTTGGTTATTGTCATTTCGGACTTTCGCGTATTTCCAGAGTTTGTCAACTTTCACCCCGGTGCTGCCTATTCTTTAACATGCGTGAGCCAGAGATTTGATAAGATTTTTATGGGTTTTTTTAGATGGCCTTTCACCTGAGCTACGTTTGGTTATTGTCATTTCGGACTTTCGCGTATTTCCAGAGTTTGTCAACTTTCACCCCGGTGCTGCCTATTCTTTAACATGCGTGAGCCAGAGATTTGATAAGATTTATATAGGTTTTGATAGATGGCCTTTCACCTGAGCTATGTTTGATAATTGTCAATTCGGACTTTCGTGTATTTCCAGAGTTTGTCAACTTTCACCCCGGTGCTGCCTATTCTTTAACATGCGTGAGCCAGAGATTTGATAAGATTTTTATGGGTTTTTTTAGATGCCCTTTCATATAGACTATGTTTGGTAATTGTCATTTCGGACTTTCGCCTATTTCCAGAGTTTGTCAACTTTCACCCCGGTGCTGCCTATTCTTTAACATGCGTGAGCCAGAGATTTGATAAGATTTTTATGGGTTTTTTTAGATGGCCTTTCACCTGAGCTACGTTTGGTTATTGTCATTTCGGACTTTCGCGTATTTCCAGAGTTTGTCAACTTTCACCCCGGTGCTGCCTATTCTTTAACATGCGTGAGCCAGAGATTTGATAAGATTTTTATGGGTTTTTTTAGATGGCCTTTCACCTGAGCTACGTTTGGTTATTGTCATTTCGGACTTTCGCGTATTTCCATTGTTTGTCGGCTTTATTTTTTGCCAGAGCTCCTTTAGTGTTATCCCGTCATCAGCAAGAGGAGGCGGAGTTGGACTTCTAATGACCACGACTTGCCAGTGCAATTCTGGTAGAAGAACGGTTGGCTGCTGTTCACATGTAGCTTGCCTTATTTGGTATTTGTCCACAGGTCGACATTCACCCATCAGGCCTCCAGCAGCAAATCATCCAGATTCGTTTGCTCACAAACTTGGTGGTGTGGATGAGAGAGATCCTGACTCTGATTCGGATCCATAAACTATCTCATGGGCGAAGCAGCCGAGTTAAATCTCAATTTCACAATCTCAGTACCCACATGAGATAGTTTATTTGACGCTCCAACGTGATGTTTTTACGCACGTTTGGATAAGTCGTGGTCATCAGAAATCCAACTCCTCCTTCTCGCGGTGATGGCTGGTTGATGCTAACGGAGCTCTGGTATTTAAGTTTTCTTTCACATTGAAGAAAAAGAAAAAATATGATTAAATTGAAGCTGTCGTATTGTTATTAACTTATTTTTCTATATGCCTTCAGTTTGATTATAATCAAAATGACTTTAAAAGCGGAAATCACTTGATTTGTTTCCCATTAACAAGATTTGCCATTGGCGTTGTCATTGTGTAACCCTGTATGAGCTACTGAGAGAACAAAATTGCATTAAAATGTATAAATTCACAATTACCGAATCAAATATGTAGCTTATGAACGCATACTATCAACTTACAAATCATTATTGACACTATTTGTACATAAAAAGTTGAAAAGTACATTGAAAACAGCTTTTTTAAGCTTTTCAACATTTTTTCAGTACTAAAAACCTTCATTTTCATTTAAAATACTGTTTAAAAAATTCGACTTTTGACCGCGTTTTTTCGGCCTTAGGTCCGAAATTTTCTGTAAGGTTTTGAACATTCCTTATAGAGCCGAGTGTCCTCTATCGATTGGCATTGAAAAATCTCTGGCTCAAAAACAGGCAGAATCTGTCACTGTCCTTTGATGAAGGAAAATGAAATATATTTCTTTCAAAAAAGATTCATTTTCACAAAAATCAATGATCTTGTATTCTGGATTTATCAAATCGAAATTCGCGGTTTCAAGTTTCATTTTTGTTTCTAATGAAACGATAGGTGTCGCTGGAGGGAATTCAAAACAAAAACAAAAATTCACATTTCAAATATAAATGTTTATTAACAATTTTCAAAAATTAAGTTTCCACATGATTGTGAGTATCTAAAATATAAGATCTTTTTCATTGGTAATAAATAGGAATTTGAACTAATTCAATTAGAAAATTTCATAAAAACAGCGATAAAAATAAATGGTAAGAATCTTTTAATCTGTTTCCATGTCTTTGATTTCTTGACTGAAATCCATTTCTTCGACTTGATTCTCGATTTTATCTTGAATCATATCAATCTCCATTGTTTCTTCTCCATGGAAAGATAATCTTGAATTTTCATCTTTTATTTTTGAATCTGGTGTTTTCAAAATATCATCAGATTCAATTTCTTTATTACCAGTAGCTTTCTCAACGTTAGAAAAATCTTGTTTTATTTCCACCTGGAAATCATCTGGAATAGAAGTGAATTTAAAATTCACAGAAACTAGAATAGGAAGAAATTTGAGATAAATTTCTTTGAAATTAGCAGGATAAGAATATGAAAACTGTCAAATTAAAATCTTACCTTTTGATTCATTATCTAAATGAAGAAGATTTGAAAAGCATTTAAACTCCATTTTGGCGTTGAAAATGGCACGAGAATTAAAATCCAAAAACAATTAAAGATGAAGTTGAATTTGATTTATTTCAGGTAAATCTTGATTCTTTGAAATTAAAAATGATTCACTTTTTCAAATTAAGATGATGAATAATTTTAATTGTTGATTTAAACAAAAAACTAATCAATTAACAAAAGAACTAGTGAATGAATCTAAGAACATGGAAAATGAATTTGATTTTAGCTTTTCACTCGAAGTTAATCTAAATTCGAATTTGATAATAGCTTTTAAAGCTTTAGTAGCGGACAAATCTTTCGATAGCGCATCTAGTTATTCCTTAAATATTGATCAATAATAAAATTCTTGTGATATTTGAAATGGAATTTCTGACTTTGAATCAAAATACATTTTCTCGAAACAGATTCATATGGTATTATCATATTGATAGGATCATTTAGAAAATTGTTTTGAATTTCATTCAAATATCCCAGATCAAACTGAAAAGATCCAGTTTTACCTTTGAAAGAGGTTTTCACACCGATCGTGCGAATTCGCTGACCACAGAGATGAAATTCATCAAAATTTTGTCTTATTATATACTGGATAGAGATATATTCCCCATCGACTGTTTTTAAAGTTGAATCGTCTCTTTGTTTGTCTTGACAGTAATTTCTCGACGAATATCTTATTCCATTGATCGAAATTGTTTCACATAGCTGACAATTTGTTGAAACGTCAAATCCAGTACTTTGCATGATTGTGGTTAAAATTTTTTGCTTTGCATTTTCACTCAACTTTTTCCGCTTGTAAGTTATTTTAGTATGTGAATTTTGATCCACTTCCAACATTCCAAAATCCTTTCTCTCTTTCGGGGTAAGATTCCAATTGTTCATTTTGCTGGAAAGAAATTCCGTGTGCTTGAAATCACTTATGAATGTGCGAACCAAACTTGGTGCAATATTTGAAGATCGATTTACCTTTTCTTTCAAAATTCCCATGTAATGTTCCAGGGGATATGAAGAAACGTTTCCACATGGACCAAGAGACTTGAGAGATTCCGGTAAATGAGAAAGAATATGCATATTGTAAGTGAGAAATTGAGATCCATAATTTCAACACACCGTTGTTGAAATTCTTCAATTAAATTTTGAATTTCTTCCAATTTATCCTGCGTTATGTTCCGTGAGAGATAGAATAGATCTGATCAAACATGATAGATGATTGATCACATTTTTTTTCAAAAGTCCACGAATACTTGGAAGGGCGTAATAAGCCAAGAAATTCTCATATTCAGCAGATTTCCAGAATTTTATCTGCTCTAAGTCTCTGGGTATTCGACTCACATCAGAGGGAACAGAAATAGATACGATTCTTCTTGAAAGCTCTTTTTTGAATGATACTTTGTTATAATTTTTTTCAAATATGTCCTTATCATCGCCAAGCCATCCTTTAAACATAATGCCACGAAATATTCCAAGAATTATACAATGCATGGGTTCAACCGAGAACCCATCAACGATATCTAGGTGTTTCAGCTTGAGAAGAGGAGAAACACTAACCAAGCCGGCAAAACGTGGATTCTCGTTATTTGATTCTTCGGATTCTTGATATTCCTTGAATCTCAGAAAATCGTCTTTTTTCCTCCGTAGATCTTTCAATTCATTTCGTGCTAAATTAGGAAAAATTCTAGCTCTATTGACTGTTGATGCTTGAACTAAGCACCAATCACACCCATGTATGTGATTGAATTGACGAGCACATCTCAGGTACGCCCTCATTGGTGCATCAGCAACTACAGCAACAACGTGGAATGTTGAATGAATGGAAACTGCATCAGACATTCGTAGCCAAGTTAATGGTTCAGTTTCCAAAGATTCCAATTCTTCACAAATTGGATTCAAGAATACTTGAGCACTCGGTTTTTTCTTTCCAACAAAGAGGCCAATTAAGAAGAAACGTCTTTTTCGAACAAGTGGCTTAAGTTCATTGATTGATGCAAAGATAGGAAAAATTTTTATACTGGAAGAATTTCCAGCAACAACTTCATCAGCATGGAGAGTGAGGGTGAATCTTTTCACTGTTTCAATTTGTTCAAAAGATTTGACTTTTTTCGCTTGAATGGCACTAGAAACATCTGAAGGGAATTGATTCTGAATTTCAACTTGCCAGTCAGAATCTTTGATCGAAGAAAGGTGAGATTTCAATTGACTTCTCAATGGTAAATGTAGAAAATATTTATTTTCCTTCAAAACTGGAGTTACCATAGAATCACAACACTTGAAAGGCAAGTAAAGCTTTGGTTCTCCAATATAAGGTCCATGGGCATGATTATTATCACAAAGAATGTAAACTATCAATTCACAAGACTTGGATCTTTTTTCCCAGAAATAACGAATATTAGGCAGAATCACAGGATCACTTGAGAATCTTTTATTCAAATTATTGATTAAATTCACAACAAGATTAGCATTGGTTAGATTCAAACCCACGTGTGACATCATTGAAGAGAAGAAACCTTCAATATAATCTTTCAATGAAGGATTCACTGTTGAACTTTGAATCGGTTCAAATTCACCATTAATATCTTGAGAAATTTGGGAACTTGTTTCCACATCAAGATTCATAGATTCTATATTGTCCAAATGTTGGAATCTAGAGCCTGGCACAGGTAAATTTGGTAAATTGTCAACATAAAGGTGTTGAAGCTGTCTATGGTGGGATTTCAACTGACGGTTTTGACTTCTTTTAGTTTTTTTTATCTTATTCAAATTGAAAAAGTTCGCAGACATTTTGAAGCACTGATTAATAGAAACTTAATTTGACGATATTTTCGGATTTAATTACAATTAATCAGAAAGATAAAATAGAAAATTCAATTTTAGAAAACAAAATTACAAATTTTGTTCGACTCAATAGTTGTCAAGGAAACACTTATGGGGGTAGAAAGTCACGTGACTGATTTCACTTTCCGTTAAAGATAATTGTCTTGACAACTATTGGGGGAAGAAACTCTTGATAACAATTATTTTCTATTCTAATTTTTATCTTTCAAAGATTGTCTTATCAATCGGAAGAGGAAATCTTTCAATTTTATTTTTTTAACAATTTTAAAACTACACACTATTAATGTGTATTTTACTCTGATTTAGCGTGGCTTTTATTACAACAAAAAAGTTTTTCATTCAAATCAGTGAAAGTTTTATGAATTTGTGCCAAAAAATCAAAAATCAAACTATTTTGATTCCGTCCAGTAATAAGAGTCGCTCCAAAATAACGAAAATTTATAATCAACCAACTCTAATTGCTACAATGCTGAGTTTAAAGCAGGAAGAAAAGGCAATCGTAGCTGTTGTCAGGATCAAAGATCCACTAATCGGTGACCAATTGATTCCATTCGGCTTTAAGTGCCATAGAGATCTCATTCCATGTGATATAAAACCAGCTTGTCTTTCATCAAAAAATACAGTTTCAATTGCCGTTGAAGGAATCAAACCATTGAAAGCTATGATAGTTGGATATGGAGGTAAGAATTTATTCTGAATATAAAATTATTCTTAGAAAGTTGAAATTCTTATAACTTTTCCATTTTCTTTTCTTTCCATCAGATGATTCTAAGGAAGTTTCTGAAGCTTATAAAATCTTTTGCGAGAAATCAAAAGATATTAATGCTCAAAAGAAGATCAATATTTGGCTTTCTTCCAGTTTGATTTATTTCACTCAAATCAGTGTTTCAAGTTTGGAAAAAATTCAAAGATCCGAATTTGAACATTTCGTTAAAGTAGCAGATTCTCAGAAAAAAGGAAAATTTCCTAAAACTTCCACTCCTTTGAAAAAACCACAAGAAATTGTTCAAATCGATCTTGCTGATGAAAAAGATCAAGATTCTAATCAAGGGAAACATTTGCAAACAGCTGGCTCAAGCAAACAAGTAATGGTCAAAGTTGAAGAAGATGAACATGTGAAACCTTCTATTCAACATGTAAAAGAGGTTGTTAAAGAGATTCAAGAGATCGCTGGATATTCTATCACTCAAGCTTCAGTGAAAGCTTTTCATGCTAAAGTTGCTCGGACATTTGATGTTCTATATTCATATCTAGAATCTAGAGACGATTCTCCGAAATCGAAATTTAAATTGCGAATTTCTGAAAGACCAGATAATTACTTTATTCCAACATATGATAGAACATATGAAAGTGGGAATTTCACATATATCGAAGGTCTTTTACCTGTGCCTACTAAGAAATACAAGCGAGCAATGAATAATATTCCATCGAAAATCGAAGAATTAGAACCAACTCTCATCATAAGTGCAATTGTTAAATTCGCTTTTCCGAATCATTGGATCACGGATGTTACTCTGAGAGGAGCAGGAGGTCGAAAATCTCTGATTACTATTTGGAATCACCAGAATCCGATTGCGAACCCTGCAGAAGGAGCTTTTGAAAATGGTTTAGGTGTCTCGAGACTAAGAGCACTTTTAGGTAAGTTGAAAAATTCAAAATTCTAGATTGAATTCTAATTCTAAATTCTATTTTCAGATCATGCTGTGCGAATGTGTGGAAAGCTTTCATACGATCTTTTAGTTGAAAAAGCATTGCACACTAGTATTGCTAAAGCCATGCATTATGTCAGAACTCAGCTACTGATTAAAACTTCTGGAAGAGATTCTTCTGAACAGGATTCGAGTTATCTCACCGAAGAAATGGATTTTGAAATCGATCCGGCGGATTACATGAGTCAAGAATCAAACGACCCTGATGATAATATTCGTGTTACGAGAAAGAAATCACGAGAATCACAAAGTCACAATAACTTGGACAAGTTTCCAGAAGATAACGATAGTCAATCATCGCAGTCAAACTTGTTTGGTGAATCAAGTGGTAAGATGGCAAGCGAAAGTGATAAAAAGTCAAAGAAGCTTGAATCTCCGAAAAAGGGTGACAAATCTGATATAGATTCGACTGAAAATTCAAACCAAAACACTACTGAACCAGATTCTGGTTTTGGACAAGATAAAGATTTTTCTGAAACTCAATCCATGAGTGGAAGTTTTTCACAGAAACGGCAGTATAGTGGAATTGCCTCAATAAACAAAAGAATCAAATCTAGTGTAGATACCTTACGAGCTATCCAAGAACCAGATATTTTGCCAAATTCGCCGTCTCAGACAAATGAAGAAATTCCTGAACCTCAATCTGTCGGAGATGAGAATGAGACCAAAGTCGGACCACTAAAAGAAATGCGTGTTGTGCTGAGTGACAAAGGAAGCAACGCTGCTGACTCAGATCACCCTCAAGATGATTTTGAAGTTGAATCTGAGACTGGCAACGGTTCTGGCGCTGGCTCTGATGATGAAAAGGGTTCAGTTAGAGATTCAGAGGTCGGTTCAAATATGAACGAAAATATTCAAGACAAAGATTCGAATTTTCAAAATGAAAAACCGTTGAATGATGAAGAAACTGACGAAAGCAATCAAATACCCTTGACCCAAGCTTTGAATGAAATCAATTCTAATGAAGATGATTCTACTCAAGATCAAGATGGAGAACCAAAGGATCAAAAAGAAATAGATCTTGAAAATTTATTCGCTTCAGATCCACGGGCCGCTCTTCTTTTCATCAAAAATAGTAATCTTGTCGATACATTCATTTCTAAATTCAGACAAAGTGAGGGATAAAATTGTGTTTACTGATTCCAATATATTAGAAATTGTTCCAATCAAAGTAAGAAACAATTCAAATCAAATGTTTTTCAATTATTATTTTTCTACCTCAATTTTCACTAATTTTTTGTTATCCAACAAACTAACAAATTATTCACACCAAAGTAAGAAACAATTCTAATCAAATATTTCTTTCCAATTATTATTTTCTACCTCAATTTTCACTAATTTTTTGTTAATCCAACAAACTAACAATCCAATGATCTCATTCAAATTTCTTTGTGATAATTCAAACATTACAAATTGTGCAATCTCTTTGAACCTCTAGAGACTTTGTGGCTCATCTAAAGATGAAAATAAAAATTTTTTGTAAGAAACTTGTTTTTCATTCCGGAAACATACATTTTGTTTCCCTTTCCTAACAATTAGATTTCATTCTTTCTTTATCCTCATTACAGTAAACCTAATAAGTGTTGAGAAAGTGTTTTTTATTTATGTTTAAATATGTCTACTCAACCGTCTCATTCAAAGATCCATGAAAGAAAAAATTCTTTTTATTCGCAGCAACATCCATCTACAAGCAAAGGTCATAGCAAACGAAACTGTGAAATAAATTCAAATGAATTTATGAAAAAATTCAACTCATCAAATACATGTGAAAGTGATTCGAGCAAAATTCAACGAAAGCTTTCAAAAACAAAGCAAGGTCAAGGCAAAGACGATAAATCGCTCTCATATGAAAGTGAGCAAAAAGATGAAAATGTTTTTGGAGTGATGTTACCTCTAATATTAGACGGTAATCATAAACAGTTCAATCAACCGATTCTTGTGAGATTCAATTCAGGAATTCTGAAAAATTTTGGTTTTAATCTTCCCTTCAAAAGCTTCATGAGTGCAAGAGATAACTTTTTCATCATGAAATTCAGAGGGATAAATTTTACTGCTCAGATTATTGCAATTGGAGGTGAGTGAAGTTATTTGTGACGCAAAATCTAATTTGACAAATTTCTTATTTTTAGAAAATCCAGTCACATTGAAAAGATGTTTAAACGAGAACATGAAATTGAATCCTCGATGGAGAAACTTGAAAAAAATGATAAGCTATGGAAATGGTTTGCTTGATCTGATTCACAAGCCACTAACCTCTGAATTTGATTTTCCTTCTCAAATTGTGCTTAATGAATCTTCTTTGAATAAAGTTTTCAAAGAACATGAATCTTTGAGCACAGATGATTCTGAAACGAAATTGAAAAAGATGAAAACAGAGACTTTAAGTAAAAAAATGGAAGCCAAAGAAATGAAATCAGCAAATAAAGATGAAGATTCGTTTGTTCTAGATTCAAATGAGAGTGTAACACAAAGTGTTGAAAGAGGTTCAGAATCTCTTAATAATCGAGAATTCAGATCCCGAAGTGAAACGAATAAAATTCAAGACAAAAGAATGACTAGAAAGATATGTGTCGATTCAACAAATATTGAGCAAAAACTCGAAGCCATTGAATCCATCGTTGATGAGTTGAAAAGTAAAAGTTACTTCTTGTCCGACAAAGATACAACTGGTTTTTTGCTGCTCAAAATTGTTGAAACAATTGAAAAAATTTCAGATTATCTTCAAACAAAGAACCAGAATTTCATAGAAAAAGCAAATACAGTGCCTGAAAAAGATAAAACATACAAGATTGTCGAAAAGGTAATTAAATATTTTCTGATTTTTATTTGATGACTAACGAATTGTATCTTTCTCAGAATCTCATTTTCTTGGAAGGAACTATTCAGTTGAATTTGGATTCATATGAATCAGCAACACGCAATGCGAAACCAGGAAATCCTAGTTCCTTTGCATATCAATTGGTACATTTCTGCTTTCCAAGAGTTTATTATGAAAATGTCGCCCTTGGAAAAAAATTTATCGAGGATAAAGATATTATCAAACTTCTAGAAATGAAAAAGAATGGGAAGAAAGTCAAGCTCCCTTTACACTACGTATGGGGGTTTAAGGAGCCTGTTCAGAGACCATTTGAAGGGGAATTCAATGCAAAGCTTGGTCATGAAAGAATTCGGTCATTCCTCTAGTGAGAATACTGAATTTCATCATACAGTGAATATACAATAATGATTCTTATTTCCTTT